CATGTCAGATTCACACTGGGACATTTCAGACACAAACTGGGACATGTTAAAACCTTCTGATCATTTATTTTGTATTTTCTTCTTTTCATCACTTTTATTCTTCCTTCTGTTAATCTCCTCCTCTCTGTCAATCATCGTCTGGGTCACGGAGCCTCAGGGTTCTGTCTGCAGCCAGATTAACGGGCCACCAGTGTCCGGTACCTTCTGACCCAGAAAAATGAAAGAAGCTTCATGAAAGAAATGCTGGAGACGAGCCAGAGCTCTTTCAAAATAAATGAAATAGTCAAAGTTTGAAATAAACAGATTTGATTGATTTTAATGACGTTTATGAACTTCAATACTTGAAGTTTCTTTAATTCTTTGAGCACGAAGACAGAAGAAGAAAATAAACACAACCATCAAATAATTCTTAAAGACAATCTCAAGAGAACCTTGTCCACAGATGGTTGGAGACGAGGGGTGAAGAAAGCTATCTTTGTCAAATGAGACAACAACCACGAGACCGTGTTTACACCAACATACGAGACGCAGACAAAGCCGTCCTCCGCCCCCACCTTGGCTTCTCTTACCTTAATTAGGGGAAATACCTCTTTAAACAGTCTGGTTGAGATGGGATCTAGCAGGCATGTGGATGGTTTGGATGAGGTCTTTATTTTTTATAATTCATTCATTCATTCAACTTTTATTTAAACAGATAAGTCACACTGATCCTCAAAGACTCATTTACAAGTGAGACCTGTTTGGACAGACAATAAAAAGTGGTGAAAAATGATACATAGGGTTTGAAGACAAAAAAATTCCTAACATGCGTTTAATCTTTGGTTGAAGGTCAACAGTGTGATAATGAAAAAAAACATCTCGCACACTAGCACATAATGACGCCGACATTATGCTGGGGGGGGGGTGCACAAGGACAGTGAGCAGTCCAGGGACAACACACAGAAGCACTGCAGAGTTCAGATAAAATTGCTCAGTTCAAATAGTTCCCTCTAGAGAGATCCGTGCACACTCTGTGTCAGAGTGTGCATGAGTGTAATTCAGAGAGCTCAACAGGACAAAAACTGTCCAAACATAAATCAGGTTCTAGTGACATTTTTAAAGTTGTCTCATCTGACACAGAACCAGAGGCGATAGTAGGAATGTTGGTTTGATTTTTTTCCCTAATTGAAACAATTTTATTAATAAAGAATCTCATGAAGTCATCACTGATTACAGTTGTAGGGACACATGAATCAACAGAAAGAGGATTTTTCATTAGACTAACTATGGTGCTGAAAAGGAACCTGTTTTTTAATTATAATAATAATTATTATTATTATTATTACTATTATCAATTAAATATGAATAATATAAAGTTCTAGACAGGGCTTAATTTGTGAACCAACAGATGCTGGAACACAACAGCTAGGGTGGGGGGTCCTGGGGAACGTGCATGCTAACAAGACAAGAAAGTGACAAGTTGTTTAATGACATAAACTATATTTTGTTAGCAAAGAATAGAGTCCTAACATTTATTAAACATTACTTTTGTATTTACAAAAAATAAATAAAAACACATCAAAATTAACAAAGTCCATGCTCAATAATCCAGGTATACAATCCAACAATTTTCAGTCAGGTCAT